GAGCGCGCTCCGGGCGGCGCTCTCCGCTGCAGCCGCGCTCGCTGGCCCTCTGCGGGAAGCTGCACGAAGCCGGTTGGCTGGCGCAGCGGGCTGTTTCCGAGGGCCGGGCTGCTCAGCTTGCCGCTCCGCTAACTGCCCAGGCTGCCAGCGCGAGTGCGCCCGTTCACTCCGGGGGCTGCATTTTGTAGCGTGTGGCTTGGCTGCGCGCCCACTTGGTCATGTGGTCATCGGGAGGACTGCGGGGGGGTGCAGGCAGGAAGCGAGCGAGCGCGCGCCTCCCGCACCGCCCCCCGCCCGGCCTGCACGCGGCCGCCTGGCCCGGGAGCCAGCGGGAACCCCGAGGGGCCCACCACAAAGGCTGCGCGGCTGCTCCCCGGACAATGCCCGCCTGGCCGAGGGCCAGAGGGTTGACCGAGCTAGATCTGCAAGCTTTCAAACACAGGAAGCATTTGGGGCGGGGGGCAGGGGGCGCGGTGGAGGGGTACACTTAACCCTTTTTCATCTCCCTTCCTTAACAGAGGTTAGAAACCCTCCCCCTCTGACGCTAACAGGGGTCCTGCCCCCGTGCTGCTTGATCCCCAAGGCTCCCACACTTGGGCGCCTCTTCATGCTTTTTCAACTGCGTTTGAATTGGGGTGACTGCATAGGCTTCTGCCCAAGACTTGATTCATTACTCCGCGCCCCCATTTCTCCCACTGTCCTCAGCCTCTTAGAGCTTTCCGTGAGAATACTCCCTCTCCAGCTCACCCTCTCCCTAAGCCCTTCATTTTCACAGTACCTCAATCTAGTCTCCCCCAGAAGACTTCCCAGGAGAACAGTCATGGGGGGTGGGGCGGCAGCGGCTGCAAAGGCGGCACGTTCTTGTTCTCCGTCATAGTGGGACGGGTGTGACTAAACAAAACGCAAACCCACTGCTGTCTAATCGATTCTGATAGCGACCCTATAGGACAAAATAGAACTGCTCCCATAGATGGACTTCCCAAGTTTATATTGGAGCCCTGGTGTGGCATACACACTGGACCGCAAGGTCGGTGGTTCAAACTCACCAGTCGCTCCTTGGAAACCCTGTAAAGGGTCGCTGAGTCGGAACCGACTTGGCAGCACTTAAGAGCAACAATTTTTACTGAAGCAACTGCCCAGTGTCATCCTACCTCAGGGGCTGATGGGTTTCAACCACTCATCTTTTGTTAAGCAGTGGAATACTTAGCAATGGGCCACCAGGGCTTCTTGGGGGGTGACAACCTACCTCCAAACAGTCTAGGCTGGATTGCTTTTGCACACAATTGGGATGCCCCTTTTGTAAGTGGGCCCTGAAGTTATTCACCTTTGGGTGCCTACCCCAGATTAGATGGTTAACTCCTCCTTCACCCTGAACCCCCTAAAGGAATAGATTCCTGTATCACACTGGGAACCTCCTCACATAAGACCATTTTCTCATTCTTCTGGCTCCCTTGAAGTCCCCAATGTCACACTCTGCACATAGGTGGCACTCAACACTTGTTAAAAGACTGCATTGAAAGATGCCTCCACTGCTCAACCAGGCAGTTTGTTTGACATGCAAGTCCACATTGACACAATAGATGCATTGGACAATGTTTATGTGCACCACAAAAGACCTGAGAAGCCTGCATATTTTAAATACTTTTGGAAACATTAAGGAGAAAAACATCCGGTGTATAAACAATGTGTTTATTATGTGTCTCCCGTCACTAGAATTGTCAGCTCCACAAGAGAGGTATCTTTGTTCTTTGTTATCCTCAGTAGCTAGGTCAATGCCTGGGACGTAGTAGGTGCTCAGTAAATACTTGTAAAACTTTTCAAGAACGTCTCTATTGCCTACACCAAGGTAGTGAGAAGAGAATAAGATGGGTTCTTGTTAATAATCCATGGCCCCATTAGCCACGTTGTTAAGTGCCATGGAGTCAGTTCTGACTCATAGCAACCCTGTATAGGATTTCCAAGGAGCAGCTGGAGAGTTTGAACTGCTGACCTTGTGGTACAAAGCAACGATTCCGTCTAGTGCTTTATCTCACAAGGCAGTGGGCATGGTTGGCATGAGGGCATTCTTCTACTGTCCTCCTGGAGAGAGTGTTACAAGTAGAAGTAGAAACACTAGGCTTCGAGTTTCAACTCTTATCACCTGTGTCTTCAGGGTTACTATGGGATTATATTGTCTCCTGAAGGTACTGTGAGATCAGGAATAAGCCCTTATAGGAGCATTTCTACGAACTGTGGTGCTCCAAGATCCAGCAGGCCCATACACACCCAAGTGTTCTCAATAAGGAGGTTACTGGAAGCCTTCCTATTTGATTGCACCTTTACTTGGGTGTGATGGGCTATTTGCTAATGGCTACAGCTGTGCTGGCCAATACAGTTGCTATTGGTGGTGTTGGGTGCCTTGGAGTAATTTCTAGCTCAGAGCAGCCCATGTGACAGAGTAGAATGGCCCCTTAAGATTTTCTTGGTTGCAATCTTTACGGAAACACATTACTAGGTCTTTCTCTGGTGAAGCCACTGGGTAGACTCGAACTGAGACTCTTTTGGTTAGCAGCCAAGTGCTTAGTCATTTACTAGAGTGTGTTTTGGTTGTTTGCCAAGGGGTGACAGTTTTTCTAGCCAATACAATCACTGCTCGTTATATTTTAAATACAATAAAAAAATCACTTCTCTCAGAATAGTCACATGGGGTTAGTGGCCACTGCAATAGCCCAGAATGTTGTGGAGTCGATTCTGACCCGTAGTTACCCTGTATAGGGTTTCTGAGAAGCAGCTGGTGAATTTGAACCGCCAACCTTGCAGTTCAAGTGGCTTCGCAGTCTGGCGCATTACCCCACAGCACCACACCAGGACTCCATCCAGCACAGAATAAAAGCTTTCAATAATTGCAGAAGGTTCTATTGGGCAGCACTGGGTTAGAAGACCTGAGTTTAGTCTGTCTTTTTCTACAGTCCTCTTTTTTAAGCTTACCTAGTCTTCAAATGTACAAGGTAACGGAAGAAAATGCAAAAGCAAACCAAATATGAAGGATAGCCACACGACACTCACTTCGTAGACACAGACATTTCAAACAAGATTTTAAAAGCTCAACACTTGAGGGGATCATGTAAAAAAAAGAATTTATTATTTTATTGTTGTTGACAATAAACAGCAGAACACACACCAATTCCACAATTTCTACCTGGACAATTTAGTGGCATTGGTTACACTTTTCAAGTTGTACAACCAATTTCAGCCTCTTTTTCTGAATTCATCCTCCTCTGTTGATGGAGACTCATTACCCCAAAGTTTCTGATTTAACCTTTTGAACTGCAGTTGTCAGTTAGATCCCAAACAGATAGTTTTTAAAAGAGCACAATGCTCAAGGCAGATGTTGTTGTTGTTGTCAAGTGTCATC